TAATTAACGAGCATGGATTTTTACCAAAACCTAATCAAATCTGCGCATTGGCCCAGAGCATCTATGCACCAAGTTTCATCAAAAACCGATGTATGGTTCTTGAGATAGCAGTGGAACAGTCGGACACACATACACACATACACACACACATACACACATACACACATACACACATACAGACACACTAACTGCAAAGACTCCCATTTTGTGCTTCGCACATGGGAGTCAAAAACAATTTTTGGCACTACCATATGTTGGACATAGGTTTCTCAATAAAAGAATGTTTACTGATTTTAATTCTTTATTTTTTTTTATTTTTGGTATTCCATCGGCATTAACCCATAATAAAGAAAGCATTGAGAAGATGATATAAACCCTTCTATTTGCTTTAAACTTTCATCTGTTTAAATATGAATTGTAAAGAGTAGTGTACAAATACTTACAACAGAACCATGATCATCACTGTCACCTGATGTATCATCTTTTAGTTTCATCAGCTCCTCTTCTGGTTCTGAAGTCTATCAGAAGGAAAATACAAGTGTTAGTTCTTAATATCAAATGTAGACATTACACAAGAACACAGTTTAGAAGAAAACACAATTTATATGATTTAATGTAAGAATAAAAGAAGAAAATTTCATTTATACAGACACAGAATAATTCATTCATTTTCACTCTAGTATAGTCAAGGCATTGTTTTAAACAGTATAGGGCATCACACTTTGACATTATTACCGTTATATACATTTTTGCCAACCAGCATGCGAAAATGTGATGACAAAGGTCGCTCACAGATCAACACAGGCTTGTGATCTGCTGCATATGTTTTGTTAATATGAACACATACATGTATATTCGATAACTATAGCAGCAAACAATGGCATTATTTGATTTTTGGTTTTTGTCAATCAATCACTGAGCATGCTCAGAACGTAAACAAGTGCAAATAGACGGGGACAACCATGCATTACAACGTATAGTAATGTCTGAATTATGATGAATACCTGTGAGGTCTCCTTGATAAGCAGTTGAGGTAAATAAAGAAATGGTCAGTATGATGTAAAGTGAAAATTAGAAAAAAAATATACACAACCAAGGAAAAAATAGAATGTGAGGTACGATTGTCCCACATGTGTGACAGGGGTGCTACGTGCCCGTTTCACACATTTGTGGAATAGTATGAACACTAAGGAGAGGGGAGGGAGTCACATTTAATGTTGCATCTGCATAAACTGCATCATACACTGTATTTTCTTTGAAGTGAGTAAAATTAGAAAGAGCTACCATGTAAGCAAGAAATGTGGCGATAAATAACAATTGATAACCTGTGTATTTTACACGTCTCCAAATCTGTAGCATACATATAATGTACATGCTATTTTGTTCTCGGTTGTATATATTATTTATTCTGGGATGAAGCATAAGCAGTTTGCATGGAGAATAACTGTTCAATATAAAAACTGTGCAACATAACATTTTGTATTGATCAAATCCCCATAAATGGCATAATAATATAATTATAGTAATATAACTTAATATGAAAACAAAGATAGATGTCAGATTATAAATTTTATTTTACCTCATAACCAAGTTGGCCAACATCGTTCAAGTCCATGTCTAATTTTAAATCCAGTCTTGGAGTCTCTTCCTGCAAGACACAAAATAAGCAATCCCTGGCAGTTAAGAAACATGAAATATTAACACGGTGAACTTGTACTCTCAGATTATTTTTTTTTTCTTGGGAATGGGACTATCGTTATATACCAAATTTAAGGTCTCTATATGCATGTTTTGCATGAAATATTCAAGAATTCGTCCTTATTCCAAATTACTCAGCGGTGATTTTTTGCACATTCACACTAATTAAAAAGGTTAAATAATTAAACTTGAACACACAATCAGTGGGAAACCAAAATAATTACCAATAATCATACATGTTAGAAATCATTGTAAATTGAATGTATAGTACCATAAAATCTGTATTAGAAGCCGCACTCCTAATAAAAGTCGTATCCATTCTTTTTTGAACAATTGAGAACTAAAAGTTCACCATTTTCGTATGTGTAGATGCTCTAATAGAAGCTGTATCCTCTCTGTTGCAATATACCATTTTAATAGGAATTGCAGCTTCTAATACAGATTATACAGTATTTTTGTTTTGGAATTCGAGCAAATTCAGATTGAGAAGTATTTCTTGTGATAGGCCCCAGTATAGCTATAGGAATGATTTCAGAGTGTATTTTAGTGATTAGTCCTACATAACACTGACCTCATCATCGTCTAATTGTAACATTTGTATATTTTCTTCTTTTCCGCTCTTTTTTAGAAAACTTCTACCTGTACCAGTCAGTTCAAATCCAGCAGATTTACTGAGAGAAGCACCTTTACTCTGCAGAGATAATGACATTTGATATTGTTAGACTCTCTCCTTTATACATAATCCTACTCTGTATCGACAGTGTCAGTCTAAATCAATTTACAACAAGCTTACACGATCAGATTTTCCTGATAATTCTGATGTAAATAACAAAATCTAACAAGTGTGATGTACAACACCTGATTGTATAATCTGATGGTATTGAAGAGTAAAGTCTAATCCTACATTGTCTGATCAGGTTATTCTGACATCCAATGGCTTTAAGATGTGTGTTATGATATGAATGGTGAACTTGCCAGTGTTTGAATACATTGAAAGCGACTGCTGTGATACACATGCCTTAAAATAAAAGTGTCAACTCACAAGGAAAGAAGGAAGCAGGGGCAGGGATGGTGGTATGAAGGAAGAAAGAAGCAGAGAAAGAGGAGTAGGAAGCAAAAAAGAATGGAATAATAAAGAAGAAAGTGATCCAAGGAAAAATTAAAAGGGAAAGTAAGAAGGCATGAGAAAAAAAGAGCCTGGCAAAATGCCTCAAATGCACACAGTCACACACAGGTTTACATATTGACATGATATGACTTTGCTGAAGGGGTACACTAGTATATCCACGTTACCCAGAACTTACACCGAGTGATGATCCTAGTCCACCGGCTGTTGCTAATGGATCTGATCTCATTGTGCTACTGAATCTACCAGGAGCACTACCCATTGTGTTTGACATACCACCAAAACTACCACCTACTTCACCTTTCAGTGGTCCTAAACCACCACCCTGTAGGAAATATACAAAAACGTACTATGAACTCAGATCAGGATTCTTCTGATTTCTAACTAGGCAGTGGTAAATTCACAATTTGAACATTGAAATCAAGTTGTTCCTGTTATCTTATATCTAGCATTGGTTTAAACTTTTTGATGGATGTATGTCATCTTAGTAGAAACGGCTTGATGCATATACCAGTAGAACATAAATGTTCAATAATATTTGTAGCAAATGCTCTCTGAAAAATGACGTACCAATAGAGAGTAAAAAGCAATGTGGTTCAAAACAACATCTGTGTTTGCTTGTGTAGTCATACATCAAAATAGATCATATTTTAAAAATCAAACACAAGATTCATGCAATTTATGATTTATGTGTGTTTCAATTAAGCTTTTCACCACCAGACTTTCTCGTCCAAAATTTCTGCACTTTTTTTCTTATATTTTTTTTTCTTATATTCTATATTTCTGGAAATAAACCTTACTCTTAGAGCCAACAGACAAAATTTGAGTATTTATACTAAAAAAATATTGATATTTTTGTCCCAATTTTCTAAAGAAAAGTGAAGACTATAAATGGGACTATTTTATGAATTTGTGATGAAAAGAGAGAACTGGTGGTTAAAGTAAAAGATTAAAGAAGCAATTCTAATACAATATGGTAAATCTAGCACACTAACTTTTCATTATTTACATTGGCACAGCAATTTTTATTTAAAAAACAAAAAAATACTCACAGCACTCATTGCTCTTTTATCAGTTTCTTTAAAACTTTTCTTGGAATCTTTAACTTTTTCTTTCTCTTTTTTCTTTTTGTCTTTTTTCTGCGGCGTCTGTCTACTTGGTGTAGGTTTCATTCTTTCCTCCACAACCATCTTTCTATAATATTCGTCACACGGATGGTCCCACACACTCTCACCAGACATAAAGTTGAAGTAGTATATATCCCCGCCAGTTTGGTCTTGACTGTAAATAAAAATAATACTAGTAGTTTAATTCTCATAATTGTTATTAGTAAATTAGGGACTAAACATGGTGGTGCAGAGTCAGATAGCCAAACTATTGGATTACACAAAAAAGTTTAAAAGATAACTAGATAAGTGTAGGCAACTGGTGTGATACGCGAAGAGCAGTCCAAAGTAAAGTTACGCGTATATTACAAGAAATCAGTGAGTTGACTGGTTTGTGTGCATCTAAAGCTATTTTGTTTTAATAGTGTCCTTCGTTATTCGCAAGTATGTTCGTTTTCTGTTTTTGAATACTGCAATAAACTCACTTATTTATTCAGGCAAACCTTCCAAAGAATTCTTTGCAAACATTGGTTTGATTGGCGTACACATTGAACTCACACAGAATGGGATATTTATGACAATTGAGCGTTTTGATTGTCACAAAGAAACTATACAGTTGCGATCATCATAATTTTTAATGATTGACAGAATGTATCGCTATCTTAGCAATGTATAAATGCTCACTCTGCATTACTACATGTAATAGTAAGCCTCAATGAATAATGTAAGTAATTGTAGTAATCAAGACTGGAAATCTCATATTCATGTGATGCAAAAGGGTCATCACACAAATTGTTTTCTACACATACTGTTCAAATACTGTACAATACTTTATTTCCGCTTTGAATTTATTTTCATTATTTTCACTGAAGGGCTGATTCAGTGAAAATAAAATCCAGCGAATATACCTTTTTTCCTATATTTCACATTCAACTCATCAAAAATCAGAGAAAATAAATTCCAAACAAAACACCCAAAAAGCCTTTTCAGCGAAAATTAATTCCAGTTAAAATAAAGTATTTTACAGTTTGCATAAAATGACGCCCAAAACTAATCATGTCTGTGCATTGTCCCAGGGCACCTACGTGATGAGTTTCATTAGAATAGGATGATTAGTTTTTAAAAAATTTATGAATAGCCAAAAATTGAATTATTATGCAAATTAGGTAATTATGAATATATTTAAACCCAAAACTACAGTGTAAGAAGACTTCCATATTGTTTTAGATCATTTACGTACTATGATTCATTGAAATAAGACGATTAGTACTTGAGATATTGATGGAAAAGCTGAAAATTTAATAATTTATATTTATGCACACTAGTTAATTAATATGTGCAGATTTTAACACTAAACTAAACATGACTGCATGTTAATGTTACTTTATTTCATCAAAATGCAATGATCACAGATCAGTATTTGAGATATACGCAGGAGTCAAAAAAGTGTAAAACTAAGGATATCAAAGACCACATGATACTATTTTGTTTTCTGCAGTCAACAAACTGATTTTGATTTTTGGTGATTCCATTTTGACCTGGGATCCGCAAAAAATCAGTCCTGTTAATTAAAGAGCACATTGGATTCAGAGTTGATGCAAAACTTTTTTAATCTACTTTTCATCCAATACTGCGCTATGTGGT